CATCAGTATAGATCAGCCGCGGATCCATGGGCGAAAAGAGGGAATTTTTCCGCCCAAAATAGGTCTTCTGATCGCGGTGTACATCCAGTGCACAATGAATGGTTTAAGACCCATCTCTTCCCAAAGGCCTTCTTCATTCGACTCTCAGCATTACGTTTGAGTTTGCAGTCTAAAATTACGCCAAGATGTTTGGCCTCGCTTGAGGTAGTCAGAATAGTACCATCCAAATGCGGAGGTCTGAATTCTAGACTTTGTTCCTTCTGGTGAAAAGAACCAGTTAGGTTATGGCCGGGTCCATGATAGTAGAACGCTAGGGGCTGATTTTATGAGTTCACTTATTGTGGAAAGATATTTCCCTTGAATAAGAAGCACAATGTCGTCAGCTCATGCGACTGATGGCCCTGATATTGAGCATGTTTTCTGTCCAATCCGCTGATCAACACCTTGATCACCCATCGATAATTGCGGATATCTTCACGTTATTAAAAGCACCCTCTATATCCAAGAAAGATGCTAACTGCTCGTTGGAAGTTTCCAGTTTCTCCTGATGAACGCGTCCCTCGGTACTTACTGCTTCACTTAAACAGAAGGAGAGCAGATTGCACACTATCTTGGGATCTTGTATTCCTCGCGAACTAAAAAATGTATCCAGACAGGAAGACCGATATACATAAGTCGGTAACTTAGCGTCATTATTTACCAATGTATACTGGATACATTGGAATACTATACATAAACATTGGACCTGCCCGATCGCATTCCAAACATCGAATATGTCAAGAACTTTGAAACACTGATACTTACAAGATAGAATGTCAATATATACCCGTAGGAATCAGATGCTACGAGGATGACTCTAAACAAGGGGACACAACAGGTTTGGTTTTATATATTGAAGACCCAGAAACTGAAACATAACTCAGTCTACCTAATTATAACACAAGCTGCTAGGAAGAAGTCTGACTAATGACGGAATGTGTAAATTGGTTTAAAATAAACGGGGCGCGACAGAGGTTAACATATTTACCGACACCCAGTAGACAATTAGGACAATATCAGCTGATAAGTTTAAATTTGAGACTGTATTCGATAATATGAAAGCTATAACCTTATTATCTCACAGAGCTTTGCATTATATGAGTATCAGGCCATTCCGGAGTAGTTGGCAACGAAAGAGCGAATTTACTCGCATTAAAGAGAGGTAGCTCGAGAGCTGAAATAAAAATATGGGTGGGAGAATACCTTAAGGCCTTTGGGAATAATAAAACAGTATGTACCACAAGGTCTTATGGGGTGAGCTTGACGAGACCAGTATGAGAAGTATGAGTGGATACACAATATTACGGGAAACCGACATTCTGAACATCGGCCGATAATATCAACATTGATCATTAATCCAAATATCTTGGAAGTGATACTATGATGTTATAATTCAGGAATACTGATCGGAAAATCCTTAGGAATTACATCCAGGGAACTGGAACGGACGATAATGCCTTCATTGATCAAATATCTTGCGAGTGATAATCTTCGGGATTTAGCATCACTCACAAACACTGTTCAGAACATTTTCTGGAATTATGTCCAGGAGTTCATGAAAAGGAGCGCACAATACCCCCGATAGTGGCTTAGATGTATTGCTGTGGATTTGATGAAGTATACATCGTCCTAGCAACCTAACCTAATTTACTAAACAAGTCTCATGTAACATAATTGGCTTGATGAGAAACTCATATAGCCACTTTAACATCACCTGGACATTTTATAGAAATTTATCGATAAATTTTCTTTATTTAGAAAATTTTCCATAAATACTCTCTTTTAAGATACTGTCAGACTTAAACTGAACCAGATTAAGTCACGTACTTTCCCATCAACATAAACACAACATTATAAATCATTCAACAACAACATAAAATTATGCTTTTAGTACCAACTACAAAGTCAAATAAAAATCTTCTATAGTCTTTCATCAAAGTAAAATTGAAAAAATTCTTTAGAAAAAAAACTCTATTTTATAATCACTTGTCACTCATATGTATATTCCTTCTTCTTCTTCATTCAGCTATAAACCTGTCGTCCACTTAGTTATGATTATAGTTTACTATATACTGATACATAGATATATATTCGCTTTTATTACAAACTTAAATCCACTCAACCACCATAAAAACTTGACGGGTTTTTATATAAACTCTTACAGAGCAAAATACCATTGAGGCATTAAAGCTGCTGACAATAAATAAGTAACTAAAATACACAAAAACGAAATGAATGCAGTTTAAAAAAAAAAAAAAATGGAACACAAGAGAAAACGAGAAAGCGCTAAAAGAATCCACTCCCATAGGTATAAAACATTTTTGTTAAATGTTCGAAGAGTGCACGTAATCCATAAAATAAATTCATTTTAGACCATTTTTATGTCATCGCACAGATGTTGTATGAACTGCAAACTGCACATTGGATAAATATTATTCGCAAACAGCAGAGAGTTACAATCCAACAACAAACATTTAAACACACATCCTAAACTTTTGTTGTTGTTCTTGTCGAACAGCAGTCAGTTGCCAGTAGATACAAGTACATTTTAGTAATAATACTAGTAGTTATGCGTTTGTTCTTTTTTATACCCTACACCACTTTAGTGGGAAGGGTATATTGGGTTTGTGCTGATGTTTGTAACGCACAATAATACTGGTCCTATGTCCACATTAAAGTATACCAATCGGCTTAGAATCATTTTCTGAGTCGATTTAGCTACGTCCGCCAGTCTGTCCGTCTGTCTGTCTGTCCGTCTGTCTGTCTGTCTGTCCGTCTGTCTGTCTGTCTGTCCATGTAAACTACATCAAACTACAGATCACAATTTTGAATATAGTTCAATGAAATTTGGTTCATGATCTTCTATTATATCAGGGACGAAGCCTATTGTACATACAACTAAACCCCCGAATAAGGCTTTTAAACCTTGTAATCAAACTACAGGTTGCAGGTCGTTGAAGATAATTCAGTGAAATTTGGCACATGATCTTCTATAGTACTAGAGACGAAGCCTATTGAAATTGGTTAATTGGTTATCGGTCCATTATTTTACCTAGCCCCCATAGAACTGAACCCCGAATAGGGCTTTTAAGTTCGTAGTCAAGTATCTCGATAAAAAGCTGCAAAACAAAGATCTATACTAGCCTAGATGACCTTCATGAACATTATAATTATAGGGCTTCATTTGACTCTAGCCCCTATACAAAGCCCCCTTCAAAATTTGACTTAAATGTCCACAGTTTTATTCAAAAATAAATGGCTTAAGTTTATCTGAGGCAATGTACAATACAACTTAAATGCTTTATTATGAACACTAAATCACATATTATTTTTATAACTGGATAATATGGTCGGCCTCGACCGACTGTAATTTCTTACTTTTTTTTTTTTTTTTGTTCTGCGGCAGTTACTGCTCTTTGCAGCACTTCATGTATTTGTACTTGTAATGTCTAGTTTTATGTTTTTTTCGTTATCAATGTCCTGTGGCTGCCAGTGGTAGTAGTGGCTGTTGCAGATTACAATTGAAAATCTGAGATTTGTTACAATACAAATCCCTTTAAAGATTTACGAGAGGATCAATAAATAGTATTTGGATTGTTAAAAGTAAAACTATGATTTTTAAATAAATGTTTTATACAAATATCGAAAAGTGTAGTTATTTTATAGCAAAAAGGTATTTATTTAGAAGATAAATAGAAACTAAAGTTTGTTGCAGAATATTAAGTTAAAACAAGTGAGAGTGTTATATTCGGCTATGCCGAATCTCATAAACCCACCATCTAATCGAATGCCGTAAAAGGAATGCTCCCCTATAAACACCAGGGTGATACTTGGAATATGGCTTAAGTCAATTATGGACCGAGCTCTTTTCATACTTTAGAGCCAGTAATGAGCGTTAAAGTCATTTTCAGAAGAGGACCTCATATGGGAGGTGGGGTAGGGTTCATTTATGGGCCGATCCTAAAAAAAATTGGTAGAGAGGTTTCGGTTCATAAGAAACTTGTACCGAATTTTATCGCTATACTCGAATTTTTAGGCCAGTAATGAGTGTTAAAGTCATTTTCTGACCTTATATGTGGGGTGGGACCAATTATGGACCGATCCTCAAAAGATTTTAGACAATTTCTTATAAAAAGAAAGTTTATAAAAATGTTCTATAAAAAGAAAATTTATAGAAAATTTCTTATAAAAAGAAAATTTATAGAAAATTTCTTATAAAAAGAAAATTTATAGAAAATTTCTTATAAAAAGAAAATTTATAGAAAATTTCTTATAAAAAAAAAATTTATAGAAAATTTCTTGTAAAAAGAAAATTTATGGAAAATTTTCTTTAAAAGACAAGAAATTTTATGGAAAATTTTCTATAAAAGAAAATTTGCGGAAAATTTTCTATAAAAAAATTTGCGGAAATTTTTGTATAAAAGAAAATTTATGGAAAATTTTCTATAAAAAGAAAATTTAATGAAAATATTCTATAAAAAGAAAATTTATGGAAAATGTTCTATAAACAATTTTCTATAAAAAGTAAATTTATGGAAAATTTTCTATAAAAAATCAATTTATGGAAAATTTATTGAACATTTTCTGCAAAAGAAAAAAGAAAATTTATCGAATATTTTATGAACATTTTCTATAAAAAGAAAATTTATGGAAAATTTTCTTTAAAAAGGAAATTTATGGAAAATTTTCTCTAAAAAGAATATTGATGGAAAATTTTCTATAAAAAGAAAATTTATTGAAAATTTTCCGTAAAAAGAAAATTTATTGAAAATTTTCTGTAAAAAGAAAATTTATGGAAAATTTTTTTATAAAAACCAAATTTTATGGAAAAATTTCTATAAAGGATAATTTCTCGAAAATGTATACAAACTTTTGAATAAAAAACATTATGCTCATATGGTCAAGCACCTGGTTTGACGCTTTTTAAAACATTAAAAATCATTACTTTAATCGACTATATATTTAAGTATTTAATTGCAATCACTTTAAACATTAGATTTAACTTCGCCGGCGAATAATAAAACATTAGCTGTCTTCTCCACAATCAAATAGGCAAATGGACGATCAACATAGAAGCGAGTAGGTGAGGCCTTATTAACCAAAACGGCGGTAGTAACAGCACCAGCTTCGGTGCCCTCCTCATTGACAATAATGCGCGTGGCATGGAAAATGCTCGAAACATAATTATCTCTGGCTATTTTGTCCAAATTTGCTCTAGACGAATCAAATAGATCTTGTATACCCATCTGTAAAAATAAGAAAGAACAAAAATGTCAATCAATTGTTGTAACTCAATGGTTTATTTATAAACTTACATTTCTTAAAATAGGACTCAATGTGAAATGTGATTCTGTTGTAAATTTAGGTATAAATACTTCTACCTCAGGTTTGTCATCATCATTGTCATAGTATTGTGCGGCAACGTTAAGTTGTCGGTGAATTTCCTTCACACCGACATTTGCTAAATTATTGACAATCTTGTTCAGTTTGACACCTGCAAAGGGGAGTTGAATATTAGTATGTATGTGTTAATACTTTTCCATTATTTTTGCAAAAAGTAATTTACCTCTTTTTGGTAGTATAATTAACATAGACAAACGATTTTCTTTGCCATAAGGTAGTTCAAGTACATGAGCATCCAACTCTTTAACATTGACATAGGTAAAGAGACCCATTTGTGTCATCATTTGTACATCGCCCAAAAGTTTGCCATCTTCATCGTAAAAAGGTAAAGGACGTGTATTTTTCGCTTCAAAGGGATACTGAAATAAAAATAGACAATGGTTTATTGTTGAGTTCTGTGATAGTAATAATAAAAGTAAAATAAAGTCTTCATACAATATTTTAAAAGTTTAAGAATCAAAATTTGTTTAAAATAACTCTTTTGGAGTATGTAAAATCATTTAGAGGCTAAAAGATATCATATCTTATTATCTGACACTCTCTATTCTCTGTCGAAGAGTAGAGTAATGTTTCATTGTCGGTGATGCGAGAGTGATCAGAATCATATTTAAGACGTGTGCCTCTCTCCTACTCTCTCTATTCTCTGTGGAAAAAAGGTATTATGCTAGTGATCCGAATAATAGACATTTTTTTGACAATGGAAAGACTTTTTGGGCTTCTATGCATAATCTGAAGGTGTTCTGAAAATATTTTTTTGGAGTATGTAAAATCATTTACTCTCTATATTCTCTGTCGAAGAGTAGAGTAATGTTTCATTGTCGGTGATGGGAATGTGATCACTGTTCAGAATCTTATTTAAGACGTGTTCCTCTCTTCAACTCTCTCTGTTGAAGAGTGGAGTAATGTTTAATTTTCGGTAATGGGAATGTGATCAGAATCTTATTTAAGATGTGTTCCTCTCTCCTATAAAAGGTATTATGCTAGTGATCCTAATAATAGACATAGACAATGTAAAGACTTTCTATGGGGAATCTAAAGGATATAGGTGTTCTGAAAATATGAGTAGTAGTAATGCTCTACTGTCTCTCATGTAAGAATAACTTCCAAGAAGTTTTAACTCCCTCACAAAAGACTAACATTGAAGTTAATTGAAGTCCTTCAGGAGGCGTTATGTGTAGACTAGGGATTTCATATGGGAAATAGGGTAAACAATTGCTTGATAGTTTTGTTGCATTTAAATTAATTTCTTCTATTATGAACTAATTATTGACAGTCAACTGATTTCTGCAACGGAGTTTTTATGAAGATTAGGGACCGATCCTCAAAAAATTTTATTAAAAACTTATTTATGTCTAATTTTATAGCTATAATGAAGAGTTTTATACCAGTTAAAGTTACTTTCTGAAGGGGACCTTAAATGAAAGATAAGGTCAATTATAAACAAATCCCTCTTAAAAGCGAGATTTTGGTTTATTTCCTAAGGGAATCCTTATGTGTCAATCATGAACCGATTCACATAAAAGTTATGACCAAATTCTTCCAATATAGTGTTTTAAACGGATTGACAAAATCATCTCATCAACCAACCATATCACCATCTTTTCCTCCGGGACATAATATCTGATAATCTTTCCCATCTTGGTGTTATTGCAATTCGAGGGAAATGTTGTGCTACCAATACCCGTAGACTGCCGGAAAACTGATTGTTTCAAATGTATCCTCGGCTTTTCCTTCGAATGACTTGACCTGGGGGTCGAATCTCATAGTTCTTTATAATCTGGTACCATAGAAACCGGTTGCCCACAAGGCAGAGTTTATGACTTTGTCTCTTTGTCTTGTCCCTGGTTATTGAAGAGGTCCCTTCGGGGTGCACGTGGCGGAAACTCGCGAAAAGAGAATGTTCTTAAAAGACGCATGGTGAAGTCTATCATTCGGGATAAGTTCTTTATTGTTAAGGCGACAACAGCTACTCCTCAGAGGTTGTGACTGTGGAACTAAGCGTTCGTAATAAGTTGGGATGAATGAAGAGGTATGCGGGCTTAGAGAGGGTGTATCAAGACAACAGATACTCCTCAGAGATTGTGACTGTGGAACTAAGCGTTCGTAATGAGTTGGGATGAATGAAGAAGTATGCGGGCTTAGAGAGAGTGTGTCACGACAACAGCTACGCCTCAAACAACAGATACTCCTCAGAGGTTGTGACTGTGGAACTAAGCGTTCGTAATGAGTTGGGATGAATGAAGAGGTATGCGGGCTTAGAGAGAGTGTGTCACCACAACAGATACTCCTCAGAGGTTGTGACTGTGGAACTAAGCGTTCGAAATGAGTTGGGATGGATGAAGAGGTATGCGGGCCACACATATCCGTATACTTAGAGAGAGTGTGTCGAGTTTTTTTTTTCAGAATGATGTGTGCTGGGTAGAATGGGGATGGATGGAAGGTATCTTATACAAGTGATACCATTAAATTTTTCATTCTTGTTAGGTTATACACAGGGTTTACTCTGTTCATACCACATTTACCACAGTGTGTTCTCTGTGAGTAAGAACAAGTCTTTGGTTTATTTTCTGAGGCCATTCCACCTGCCTGGTTGTAAACGAAAGTGATGTTTTAGCATCTCGGAAGTTATGCAACGGGGCAGCAATAGTCAGAGATTATATAGCTCGAGTACTTGAGCAATGTTCTTGTACATGAACAGAAAGGAGCGGTGACGAGTCGTCAAAAAACTCAAACAATGGTTTTATAAGTACCACCGTGAAATTTGGCCATCACGTAAAGCACTTCGACTTATACCCCCATCTTTTATGATGGTGATTCCTGAAAAGAACTCATTGCTCCGTGATCTTCGACAGATTAAATCAGATTTTCCATTGGGAGTTAGAGTCAAAACTGTAAAGTTATGAGCGGAAATCTCTTTTCGTTTATTTCTGTTGTATGGGAGTTGGAATAAATCGCAGCATGTAGTTTGATTACTAGGTTTATATGGAAGTATATCATTAAATATACTCAGGCAGTGATTCGGAGACGATTGGGGAACCATTCAAAATCTCTGCTCTCTGTTATTATAAATCGTCATTGGTCTAAAGCTTGAGTGCTGAAAAATCTCATTGTCTATGGTTATTAACTTTGAGCTCATGGGTTTGTTAGTTCTAACAAAGTCAGAACTTGAACTAACGGCTTAGCTTAAGGCCACCAAACGCTAAAGAGAAGCTTTTCGAAAATCGGTATTAAAATATATTTAAATCGCTTAAATATCACCATCTTAATAAAGAAGCGAATCATGCAAATTATAGTGGTAATTTGACATCAGTAAATTAATAGTCCAAGTTGTCCCTCAAATACAGTATTCTAACTAAGTTCCTACAAATATTAAGAGTTAATAACCATGTCTGGTTTTTGTGTGATAAGTCCAAACGAGTATTATGTAAATATATTCTGATTCCATTTAAATTATCCAAAATTTGAATTAAATTTTAAATATCACAATTTTACTCTTGTAAATCTAATCATTAAAAACTCACCTTCCATTTACCCTTAAAGTACAACGAGGAGACCATTAAAATATTAGCATCTTGGAAATCTTGTGGTGTCACCGTATATGGTATCAGACCCCGAGTAGCCTCTCTAATATCACGATTAATCTTAGTGAAAGTATTATTAACATCATCAAAATTGACGGGTATTAAAGCAGAGGCATAATCACGTTCAATAATATCCTCATAATCACGACTAACAGGTTTATTGATATTGGTGAATAAAGCATTAAAGGAGGCCACTTCAATGGTGGTGGTATTAACACTAAAAGGACAAATGAAAAAATTAATTAAATTTTTAACTCTTATAATAAGTTTTACTTACGTCAAATAACGTGATATTATATGATAAGCTGCCCTCACTGCATTCTGATCATTACCAGTATGTAATGTATTGCGCAATTCTGTTAACGTGTTGCCCCCCGCTCCCTCGGTAAGTAGTAGTAGTAATGACCATACTGCAAATGGTGATACCATATAACTGCGGTTGGGCACTGAGATATGGGCATCCGATATTTGTTTTAGAAATTCAAGAGAAAATTTCTCAGCACCCTGTGATATTTGCACTGAGTCCTGAAGTCCTAGTCTGTTGGTGTTCATTTTAACTGCATTACCCGCTGAGGACTGTGTGGCAAATATAGGAGGTCCTTGTGCCTTTATGTGGGTAAGCAGTTGTAGAAGTAAACATATTGAGGTTAAAACTGCAATTAGAAAGAAAGAACACTGTTCTTAATATACTTAACTCCATATTCATATATATGATTTATAAACCGTTTATAAAATACATGTTTGTTTATGAATATTTTTTCCTATTTTGAAACTAAGAAAAATATTCTGGGATTTACATATCTCCAACATAATCAATTAATTTCAATAGAAAATGTAATAAATCATATATTTATAATAGTAAACACGAGTTGGCGGGTAATCCCAAAACATTTTCTTAAATAAAATGTCTGAATTCATCAGAATTGTAAAGTAAAAATATTCAAAACAATGAAATTGTTTAATAAGTAATCATATCCGTTTAATATTTATAGATTTTAAAGAAAGTTCAATGATAAGTTGAGGGTTAAGTCTATACATGTGTGTGTCCGTATAAAGGAGTAAATATTTACATTTAATTTGTTTGAAAATAAATTACGAGATTGTTTAAATAATATACTTGATAAGAAACCTAGTAAAAGTGATTCAGTTCTAGTATATTGGGTGAAACAAAATATTAATGGTGCTAACAATTAAAACACATTAAATTATTATTAAATAAATATTCAAATATGAAAAAATTTTAAAATCATCGTAGGCATTACCAAGTACCTCCCCCCACTATAGGATGTATGGTATTAGATAGTGCCTCTGAAATTGGCGATAAGAAATTTAGGTCAAATTCTTAAAAATCTTTACTAAGTAATTGAAGGTTTAAATTAAATATATATTTTTTTTTTAAATTTCATTAAAAGTTCAATGTCTAAAAAAACTATGATTTGGTTGGGTTTTAAGAATTTATTTTACCGAAGGCTAATGACTGAAGATAATGTTAAGTTGATACAAGGGGATTAACACACTATTGTTTTAAAAACGGGCACTGCGGGTTTAACCGTAGTCTGTTCTAATCCAAATAAAAATAATAAAATATCATCAAAATTTCTGATTACTTATCATGATTCTGAACTTGAAAAATAACAACACGAAGACACCATTATTTATATATCTATATATAAGGACCTCGATCGATAAATCCTTTTTCTCTACCTCTCAACATTCATATTCTGCTCTTCATACTCCTGTCGGATACATTGAGGGAGGGGCGTATGGAAATTGTACATTGGTCGTTTCTCTTGCCAAAGAGGGAGCTTTTAATAACGTTGAATCTGCTTATATCTATTTGAAATAGATATTGAACGTTCCATTGTGGGTTTTGTTGAGAGTCTACTCTCTACTATAGGAATACTTGCTCTAAAAGAGCGATAAGAGGTACTCCACAAGATGGCGTACTATCACCGCACTTATGGAATATGACGATCAATGGTCTTTTGGTAAAACTAGAATCTCTTGGCTTCAAATCAGTTGCCTATGTCGATGATGTAGCGGTATCAGGTGATCATCTTGAAAGGTTAGAACAAGCACTAAAGACCATAAGCTCATGGAGCATTGAATGTGGTCTTAGGAGGTCTTTATGCCTTTATGTTGGTAAGCTGTTGTAGGAGTAAGCATATTTATATTTCTATATATAAGGACCTCGATCGGTAAATCTTTCCTCTTTAGGAGGACTTTTAATAACGTTAAATCTGCTTATATATGTCAATCTCTATAACTAGACTCTCTTGACTTCAAAACAGTTGCCTATGTCGATGATGTAGCGGTATCAGGTGATCATCTTGAAACCTTATCTCAAAGGTTAGAACAAGCACTAAAGATCATTAGCTCATGGAGCGTTGAATGTGGTCTTAGTGTAAATCGGAGCAAAACGGAACATGTGCTAATCTCCAAAATACAAGATCCCTTTATTTCCTCCTGCTAGACTTAAGGGCGAGGTATTAAAGCTCTAGATAAGAAACTAACTTGCAGCACAAATGTGCTGTCTAGGGCATCTAACTCGAAAAATGTTCACTGCTGCTATTAAACCAATAATGTTGTATGGGGAAGTTGTCTGGTGGCAAGTTCTTAAAGTTTCTAACGTAAATCATTGTTGCAAATTATAGGTTAAAATATCTCGAAGAAGGAAGAAGATACAATAGAGATTACATTTTTATTTTAAAGTTTACAGATCGAACTTTTAGACAATATAACTTTTTTCAAAATTTTTTTGGCCTGTGTAATTTTTTGAGAATATTCCCATTGGCTTTATCGTTCATCCATGTAAATCAAATACATACAACTTGACAATCTTATCAAGTAGAGTATTGTATCCCTGAATTTCTCAATGAAATTTTATACTCAAGCCTCTTTAAATAACTCAACAAATTAATGCCTGCGGGTTACTACTCAAAGAAACTAAATAGGAATCCACATAACTATTCAAAGACTTCTGGATAAGTAATGGGATCTACCGCCTTGAATGATTTGCTCTACATTTAATAATAATTAAGCTCAATTTAACTCTATGACTTCTTGATATGGTACATGTTAGTTTAGGTTACGTGGGTTGCTCGGAAATTAGCTCGGAGGCCTTGTGACCCATTGCGGTTCTCTTAGAACTACCATTCTCTTATGTTGAGAGTTGAGAGGGAGAATGATATGGTACATAGATCAGTTCATAACTAGTTCGTTACTAGGCTAGGTGTATTCTTTATCAATCTATAAAATGATTTTATTTCGATTACTATCCCAGCGGCCTGGGATCTAGTTTTGTATTTTCCCCTTACATACATATGATTAAAACATAAGACCTACAATCTTGATATTCACCAAGCCAACTTGTATATCGGACATTTAATTTGGTAACAATGGCATCAAATCTGGTAACAGGACATGTATCGTAGAGGGTTTTTCTTATAAAACTTGTTTATGTTGAATAGAGATTCTCTTTTCGCGCTGACACTTCAATAGACTGAAAGCCCGAAAGACTGACAGATCGTCTTGGGGCTGAGACTGTAGATCATTATGTATCCTATAGGGATACATATCATTAGTTCTGGTATTTAACAACACCTTGGTGGCAAGGAAACACTGACTGATTATCCGGTCTATTTCTATTGGAAAAGTATTTCTTAGCCTTTTAGGTGAATATCTATATCATCTTCATTTATGATAGAGAGTACAGAGAGTCAAGCGTCTCTAGGGACTTATGAAGGTAGATTAGTAACCAAATCGAACCATATTAAGGCTTATATGTAGCATTGTCAGAAAATGTTTTCGTCTGATAAGGGGGAAGGTTAAGGAATGATCGGATCCGAAAAAATACACCTAGGCCGCCAACTGCACTGTTGCGCCCTTTCTTTTCGTTTTGGTTATCCCATAGGATTTTGTTAGGTTGGTTTTTAATGGAAATCTCCAGTCTTCATGTATAGAGCCAACCATTTAGCAAGATATTTCATATCTGAATGTAAGGTTTTAGATAATACCTGCCCACTCTAGGCAATATCGCGACAAGGATATATACATAGATTCTGTGATATTAATCTATTGAAGTTTCTTGATTCTTGACGTTATTTCACTACCACAAGCGATATGTTACCGAGGTGTTATAGGGTCTTCAACAGTCAGATAAACCCACTTTAGGTAATACCGTGGCAAGGATATACATACATATATATAATCTGAGATTTCAACCATTGGAGTTTCTTAAAAGATTCTTGGCGTTATTTCAATACCAGAAGCGATATATTATAGCGTCTTAAACAATCAGACGGGCACATACATTTGGCTAGCCAAAAGCGTTTGAAGATCAAGAATTGGCGGCTTTATTCTATAAATCAATTATTAAAAGCTAATAAAGCTGATGTTTTAAAATGTTGTCAGCATAAAGATTCAGCCAAATTGGGTACCATGCGCAATAAAGCCATAAAGCTTTGAATGTATTAAGACAAACCAACATGTAACATATCGTATATAAAGCCCTCCCAAAGCCAAATATCTATTGGTCTATGGTATTGCTCTTAATATGATGAGCTGCTAAAATCTGGCGAAATAGTTCTAGTTAAAAATGATATTTCGAAAGCCCGCATTATTATTATATCACTTGAAGTGTTGTTTTATTGGACCGATTATAATAATTCATATCAAAATATAACGGTAAACACTTTTAAGAAAACATCTCTACTAATTATTTCTCAATGACATTTAACGGTATAAAGCGAACCACAGACAGGTTGTTAAAAGATACACAGATTAATTTAAAAAAAATATTTTTTTTTCCAAAATTTCAATGTTATATAGACTTAAGAAAAAACGCCGAACAACAACCACAATTTAATTTATATCGTCGCAAAAACGTATGGAATTAACACTAAATGATGCAAAAAATCTGATCAATAATCACACAAATTGTTTTTATTTGTACATGTTTTTATTGTTTTTGTTTATAAACTTGTATTATATGCATATAACTTTTTTTCGGGAATTTTTTTATGATGATGACTAAGTTGTTTATTTTTTTTTTATGGGGGAAAAAATCAGCAAATAACCTTAATTAATTTGTAACTAGTTCTCACCTTTGTTATAAATTAACATTGTAAAATTGTTGTTATTTTATTGCAGTGTTTTTTTTTTACTTTTTTTTGTTTATAACTCAATTAATTGATTTGCTTTTGATGGTCTGTATGACGTTATTTATAAAACGAACACAAACCAATAAATGCGATTTTTATTAAAATTTAACTATTTTTATATGGATTTATTCAACTTTTATAGATCAAAACTTAATTTATACTAAATTCCCGGTATTTTAGTGAGTGGAAAATATAAGAAATCTTAAAATAAATTAAATATGAATTTTTAATAATTAAAGAAAAATAAAAATTTGATTTAATTAAAAACAAAATCTCGTTCTGTATGCTAATGAAGTTGATGATAAGACAAGATTGTAGCAACTAGTATGCGTTTTATATTATTTTTTATTTATTTGTTTTGTTGTTGTTGTTTCTTCTTCTATACGTGTTGATTTTAATTTTACACACGCCGATTAGTTCACACACGCTGTTGGGTACTGTTCAAACAACCACAACCGCACGATCTTAGAGACGAGTTAACACTAAATGCTTGATTTTTATCAAGATACTCTCTAAGCTTAGGTTTTGATGTTCACAAGCTTTAAGCTTTAGTACTGTGAACTTGATATTGTTGTTGGAGTGTTACCCATTTGTTTGTAAAAAATGGGGGATTTTTTTTTAACAAAACAAGAGAATTTTTCTTTAAAAAGTTTTTTTTTTTAATTAAACAAAGTTTTGTACAACAAAATCTTAACATAAGAATTATTTTATGTCTTAACATTATCTAGGGAACAATACATTTGTGTTAACATATCTTTTCATAGAAATTTGTTTGTGTCTTAATATTTATCTTTGTCTTTGAAAGAAAATATTTAATTGTTAAAAATTTTGGTAGAAAATATTTTATATTTTTACATGGTTGACAAAAATGTCTTAACATTTTTTATAAAACAAATTATTTTTATTTAATTCATATTGCATATGTTATACAAAAAATGTCATAATAAAATATTTAATTTTTAAGACATAACATTTTTTATAGAAAAAGTTTTATGTCTTCACAGTTTCTTAATATGGCAACTAACTAACTAACTAACTACTAACTAACTAACTAACTAACTACTACTAACTAACTAACTAACTAACTAACTAACTAACTAACTAACTAACTAACTAACTAACTAACTAACTAACTAACTAACTAACTAACTAACTAACTAACTAACTACTAACTAACTAACTAACACTAACTAACTACTAACTAACTAACTAACTAACTAACTAACTAACTAACTAACTAACTAACTAACTAACTAACTAACTAACTAACTAACTAACTAAACTAACTAACTAACTAACTAACTAACTACTAACTAACTAACTAACTAACTAACTAACTAACTAACTAACTAACTAACTAACTAACTAACTAACTAACTAACTACTAACTAAACTAACTACTAACTAACTAACTAACTAACTAACTAACTAACTAACTAACTAACTAACTAACTAATACTACTAACTAACTAACTAACTAACTAACTAACTAACTAACTAACTAACTAACTAACTAACTAACTAACTACTAACTAACTAACTAACTAACTAACTAACTAACTAACTACTAACTAACTAACTAACTAACTAACTAACTAACTAACTAACTAACTACTAACTAACTAACTAACTAACTAACTAATAACTAACTAACTAACTAACTAACTAACTAACTAACTAACTAACTAACATAACTAACTAACTAACTAACTAACTAACTAACTAACTACTAACTAACTAACTAACTAACTAACTAACTAACTAACTAACTACCTAACTAACTAACTAACTAACTAACTAACAACTAACTACTAACTAACACTAACTAACTAACTAACTAACTAACTAACTAACTACTAACTACTAACTAACTAACTAACTAACTAACTAACTAACTACTAACTAACTAACTAACTAACTAACTAACTACTACTAACTAACTACTAACTACTAACTAACTAACTAACTAACTACTAACTAACTACTAACTCTAACTAACTAACTAACTAACTAACTAACTAACTACTAACTAACTAACTACAACTAACTAACTAACTAACTCTAACTAACTAACTAACAACTAACTCTAACTACTAACTAACTACTAACTAACTAACTAACTAACTACTAACTACTAACTAACTAACTAACTAACTAACTAACTAACTACTAACTAACTAACACTAACTACTAACTAACTACGAACGAACGAACGAACAAAAGAACGAACGAACGAACGAAGACGAACGAACGAACGAACGAACGATACTAACGAACGAAACGAAGAAGAACGAACGAACTAAGAACGAACGAACGAACGAACGAATGAACGAAACGAATCCGAAACGAACTAACCGAACGAACAGAAACGAACGAACGAACGAACGAACGAACGACAACGAACGAACGAACTAACTAAACGAACGAAAGAAAGAACGAGAACGAACGAACGGAACGAACGAACGAACGAACGAACTAACGAACGAACGAATGAACGAACGAACGACTAACGAACGAACGAACGCACGAACGAACTAACGAACTGAACGACAATCGAACAGAACGAACGAACGAACGAACGAACGAACGAAACGAACGAAACGAATCGAACTAACGATACTAACGAACGACGAACTAACTAACTAACTAACTAACTAACTAACGAACTAACTAACTAACTAACTAACTAACTAACTAACTAAACTAACTAACTAAACTAACTAACTAAGACGATCTAGCCATGTCCGTTCGTCTGCCTATTGGAATCAATTAACTGTTTTAAAAATACGAGTACACTGATGAAATTCGAAGTAAATGAAATTCATATGAGCCAAAATTTCTACCAAATTTTATGAGCTTCCGTCCATAGTTGTCCCTACCCCCCATATGTGGTCCCCTTCAGAAAATTCCTATAACATTCATTACTGGCATAAAATTACAAATATTGCGATGAAATTCACACATCAGTTTTATGCGATCCAACATCTCACTATCAATTTTATCAGGTATTCGTCCCATAAATGAGCATATCAGGTCCCCTACAGAATATTACTTTAAGGCTCATTACTGGCTTAAAGATACGAGTATAGCGATTAAATTCGATGCAAGAAAGTTTCTTACGTGCCTAATCCGCTATACCAAGTTTTATTTGGGTAGGTCCATAATGACCTTACCCTCCATATGAGGTCTCCTTCAGAAAATTACGCTCATTACTGGCATAAAATTACGAAAATTGCGATGAAATTCGACGCACCAGTAGAGCCGTCTTTTATGTGGTGTAATTTAAAACATTTACATATGTATAGTACTGAAACTTTAATAAATTGTTTACATATTTTAGATGGCAACTCTATATGCTGAATATAAAGAGTGCATTTTGTAAATATTGCTCATTTCAAGTAAAAGCTGGAAACTTAAATTATGAATCATTTGTGTGTTCGTGACGTCAAATATTGAAGAGCGTATTCTTTTAAAAGTAAATCTAGTTTATGGGTAAAAGTACAGTAAAATCTAAAAGAAATGGACAAATATATCAAAGCAAGCAAGAGAAGTTGCTTATAAATTAATTACACAACTTACAAGCTCTAACTTAATCTACAATATAACATCTTATTACTTTTAACTCTCCACCTTTAAAAGATTCTACTGTTAGGCATTTTAAGCAATATAAATATCGATGCCACATTTATTTGCATCTAATGGATTATATTGTTATCTTTTGAAGTAATACGTAATTTCAATAATAAACACTTTAGTATAATTCTTAATGAAATTGTTTAAATAAAAACACTCATTCTGAATAACCACAAATTATAAAAAAAAAATCCAGTTACACGTGTTGTCTGTCATCAATTGAACAACTTTTGAAACAATAGTAGAATAACCACAAATTATGGAAAATACTATTTTTTTCATACCCCAACAGTAACGCAAATTCGTAAGAAGTATAGGTACGAACAAAGGTATTGTAAAGAATGTCTAGTCATTTTTTGAAAGAAATTGTAAAGAAAATATTTGACATTCTTATGCATTACAAATGAACTTTTGAACGATATTTTTGTCAGAATTACCTTGTTATAAAAATATTTTTATGACATTTTTATATTACTTCTTTTCATGTCTTAACATGAGACATTTTTATATATCGTGTTCTTAATGATTTGACACATTTTCTATAGAAAAGTTTCTTTATGTCTTGATATGGCACATTTTTAACGGGAATGTCTTGGCCATGAAACATTTTCTATAGAAAATTTTCTCCAGGTCTTGCCATGAGATATTTTCTATAGAAAATTTTCTCCATGTCTTGACATGAGACATTTTCTATAGAAAATGTTCTCCATGTCTTGACATGAGACATTTTCTATAAAAAATGTTCTCCATGTCTTGACATGAGACATTTTCTATAAAAAAATTTTCTCCATGTCTTGACATGAGACATTTTCAATAAATAATTTTCTCCATGTCTTGATATGAGACACTTTCTATAGAAAATTTTCTATATGTCATGACATGGGTCATTTTCTATAGAAAATTTTCTACATGTCTTGACATTAGACATTTTCTATAGAAAATGTTGTCCTTGTCATGACATGAGACATTTTCTATAGAAAATTTTCTCCATGTCTTGACATGACATATTTTCTATAGAAAATGTTCTCCATGTCTTGACATGACATATTTTCTATAGAAAATGTTCTCCATGTCTTGACATGACATATTTTCTATAGAAAATGTTCTCCATGTCTTGACATGAGACATTTTCTATAGAAAATTTCCTCCATATCTTGACATGAGACATTTTGTATAGAAGTTTTTCTCCATGTCTTGACATGAGACATTTTCTATAGAAAATTATCTCCATGTCTTGACATGAGACATTTTCTATAAAAAAATTTTCTCCATGTCTTGACATGAGACATTTTCAATAAATAATTTTCTCCATGTCTTGACATGAGATATTTTCTATAGAAAATTTTCTCCATGTCTTGACATGAGACATTTTCTATAGAAAATTTTCTCCATGTCTTGACATGAGACATTTTCTATAGAAAATCTTCTCCATGTCTTGACATGAGACATTTTCTATAGAAAATTATCTCCATGTCTTGCCATGAGATATTTTCCATAGAAAATTTTCTCCATGTCATGATATGAAACTTTTTCTATGGAAAATGTTCTCCATTTTCTATAGAAAATTTTGTCCATGTCTTGATATGAGACATTTTCTATAGAATATTTCCCCATGTCTTTATTTGAGGCATTTTCTATAGAAAATTTTCTCCATGTCTTGACATGAGATATTTTCTATAGAAAATTTTCTCCATGTCTTGTCAAGAGACATTTTCTATAGAAAATTTTCTCCATGTCTTGACATGAGATATTTTCTATAGAAAATTTTCTCCATGTCTTGTCAAGAGACATTTTCTATAGAAAATTTTCTCCATGTCTTGTCAAGAGACATTTCTTATAGAAAATTTTCTC